AAAGCGAGAAATCACCCCCCAGGGGGAATGGCTACACCACAATCCCTTCTCCTCCATTCTCCTCTTGGTATCTTGGGCATGCACACACACACACACACCGGGCATGAGTTTAAGCTACCATGTCTGGGACTCAAACCACAGTCGACTACATGGGAGTCCAGTGACATAGCCATTATGCCAACTACTGGTCCCAAGAGTTGTTTCTTTATAAGTATCACTGATGATACTGTTTCAATTTTTTTTTATATAAAGTCTGAGCTGAGATGCTCAGAAACCTAATAATGCTTTATTGAGATGTAATGCTATATTTACAGTCTAAATTCATTTGTTGACAATTTAAAAATCAAACTATAGGGGCCAGAAGGTGGCATGATAGTTAAGGCACTGGATTCCCACACAGTCGACTACAGTTCAAGTCCTGGACCTGGCAGCTTGGAAATCATGTTGGGTGTGTGTGCATGCCCAAAATCTAGAGAGGAAAATGGAGAAGAGATTGTAATGTGATCGTCTCCCCTCCCACACAGCAGGAGATACAGGGGGTGATTTCTCACTTTCCCTCTCTCTTTCTCTCTCTCTTTTTGGCAAGTACACATCCCTTATGGCAAAAACCTAAAAAACAAAAACAAAAACCCACTATAATATGAGAAGGTTTATAACAATGATAAAAGTGTGACTTCTATAAAATAATATATAGTGATAAGCACTTTTTACATATAATGATCTAAAACTAGATGGATGGGGGACAGGATATTTTTTAACAGTATTATTTTATTGAACTGTATTTGTTTTTTTATATTTTAATTTGATCAGAGAAGAACAGAGTGAGAGTGAGAGAGAGAGAGAGAGAGAGAAAGAGAAATGGGGGGGGGAGTGAGAAAGCAAGCCACCAGGTCCAGGACTCAAACCACTGTCAGCCATGTGAGAGTCCAGCGCCCTTAACCTGCTGGCCCCCAGATATTTTTTCCTTCTTTATCAGATTAATTTTCCTTTCATCTAAGTTCACATCCTACAATAATTTAGACTTTATTGGCATTATTAGTCTTAAAGTCACCATACAGAATTTTCACCAAGATCAATCTGTAATAATAACTAAAGGAAAATGAAAAATTTAAGTGTGTATTGCTTTAAATTTGTTTTTTTTTTATTTTTTCCCTATATTTCTTTTTTACATTGCGATCATTTGACAGAGAAATCTGCATTTCTGCCTCATTGGCTCTTCTCTGTGTATACTACTCCCTGAATTTTTTTCAAGCTCTCATCCAGTGTTAGATTAATTATATGAAACTAATTTTTAGCCTCATTGTTCTCAGCAAAGTTACTATAGACATTTCATAAGTTCAGAGAATCTTCTATGTATCTCCAATATAGTTATTTTAATGATTCTTCCCACCACATTTCTTAAAACTCTTTCTTCCTCTGACATTCATACGTAGGGTTCTCTGCTACCAATGCGAATGTCAGTGAGATGACTCTTCAGGAACTGGTGCGTCAGGCCGCCTCCCTTTATTTGGACAGGATAGCGGTGTGTTTCGATGAGTGCAACAACCAGCCTCCAGCTTATTATACCTACAAGACCGTGATTAATGCTGCATCAGAATTATCAAATTTTTTGCTATCACACTGTGACTTTCAAGGAATTCGGGAAATTGGTCTCTACTGCCAGCCTGGGATAAACTTGCCCTGTTGGATTTTAGGGTAATATTTTTAGAATTACAAACTTGATCTGCTCTAACCTAGTTTGTAATTTTTTTAATATATAGGATGCCTTACAAGTTCCTGTTCTGTTGACAGTTGGGTTTGTCTGTATTGCTTGGTCAGTTCTGGAGAAGCTAAAGGAGTAAATATTTCCCCTTATTATTATTATTATTATTATTTACTTTTTTTTTCAAAAAGGTTTTTTTTTTGCTATAGGGTGCGTGTGCTCGCCAGACAGAGAGCGACAGAGAGACAGAAAGCGAGAAATCACCCCCCAGGGAGGATGGCCATGCCACAATCCCTTCTCCTCCATTCTCCTCTCAGAATCTTGGGCATGCATGCACATGCGCCTGGTGTGAGTTTTAAGCCAACAAGTCCAGGACGCGAACCACGGTCGACTACATGGGAGTCCAGCGACATAGTCATTACACCAACTGCTGGTCCCAAGGTATTCTGATTTTGGTTAAATGCCTCTTTTACAGTATGCAGATTCTCATAACTTGCATATTAGTAAGTTGAATATGGATGTATCCTACAGATGACAAAATTAAACTCTGCAACATATTTAGTATTTTACTAGCAGTTAACCAATTATATTACATAGTAATAAATTAACTTTTTTAAAAAATGATTATTTTATTTATTTATTTTGATCAGAGAGGGACAGAGTGAGAGAGAGGGAAAGTGAGAAAAGCAAGCCACCAGGTTCAGGACTCAAACTGCAGTTGGCCATGTGAGAGTCTAGTGCCTTTAACCACCATGCCACCTGCTGCCCCCATAAAAATTTTGTATTTCCCTATATTAAGTGATGAGATTTGATACCTGTTTTATGCATTCATGATATTAATCAATAATAAGATAAAATAGCAATATATATATATATATATATTTGAGAGTCTTTTTTTGCTATAGGGTGTGTGCACTCACCGCAAAGACAGAGAGACAGAAAGTGAGAAATCACCCCCCAGGGGGGATGGCCATACCACAATCCCATCTCCTCCATTCTCCTCTCAGGATCTTGGGCATGCATGCTCGGCATGAGTTTAAGCCACCGGGTCTGGGACTCAAACTGCAGTTGACTACATGGGAGTGTAGCGACATAGCCATTATGCTAACTGCTGGTCCCAAGACAGCAATATTTTTATTTATTTTTATTTTTAATTTTTGAGAGGTTTTTGCTATAGGGCGCGTGCGCTCGCCAGACAGAGGGACAGAAAGCGAAAAATCACCCCCCAGGGGGGATGGCCACGCTGCAATCCCTTCTCCTCCATTCTCCTCTTGGGATGTTGGGTATGCACGCACACGCACCCGGCATGAGTTTTAAGCCACCGGGTCTGGGACGCGAACCACGGTCGACTACATGGGAGTCCAGCAACATAGCCATTATACTAACTGCTGGTCCCAATAGCAATATTTTTAACCACTAGTGTGTCAATGGAAACATTGGAAATTTCTGATAAATTCAGAAATTTCAGAGACAAATAGAAGTACTGAAAGGATGGTCTTATATTCTGTGCTGACTCTGTTCTTGTTGCTTTAGAATTCTCCAAGTCCCTGCTGCTTATGCACCTATTGATCCAGACTCGCCACCATCTTTATCAACTCATTTTATGAAAAAGTGTAATCTGAAGTATGTCCTTGTTGAGAAAAAGCAAGTTAACGTAAGTTGGGGTTTTAAACTGTTTCTTGCATATATGTTTGTATGTGTGTGTTACATTTATCTCTCAATTGAAGGATTCCCTCCTCCCTTGTATTGTTTTTTTTTTATTATTATTATTTTTAAGGTTTTTGCCTTAGAGCACATGCACTTGCCAGAGAGAGAGATGGAGAGAGACAGTGAGAGGCAAAATTGGAAATCATCCCCTGGGGGAATGACCATGCTTCAGTCACATCTCCATTCTCCTCCTGGGATTTTAGGCATGCATGCACATGCACCCGGTGTGGTTTTTAAGGCACCAGGTCTGGTACTTTAATCACTGTAGGCCACGTCACCTGCTGGCCCCCCTTGTATTGGTTTCTAAATTCGCAAACTCTAACAGAGATTTTCAGTACTGATACTATTGACATTTTCAGTTATGTTGTTTATTGTGAGAAATGTCCTGTATGTTATAGGGTGTTTAATGATATCCCTGGTCACTACTCATAAAAAGTCAGTTATACCTCTCAGCTGTGACAACCAAAAATGTCTCTAGACATTGTCATGGAGACATCTTTTATCCTCAGTCTCAATTGAGAACTATTATTTTTTAAATTATTTATTATTATTATTATTAAGTTTTGCTACAGGGCATATGTGCTCACCAAGGGAGACAGAGAGAGAGAAAGGGAAAGTGAGAAAGCCATTAGGTCAAGAATTGAACTAAGTAATCGGCCATGTGGGAATCCAGCGCCTTAACCACCATGCCACCTGCTGGCCCTAAGAACCATTATATGGGGTGAACGTTTAGTCTTATAATATATATTGAACATTGTTTTGAATTTCCTTTCTCTTTCCAAAATATTTCCTGTACTGGAAAATGTTTATAATACTTGAAACTTTTATCTTTATATATGTATGGTAGTTGTATTGCTCAACATTAAAGAATTATAACCAAGCTTACATTTTGAAAAAAAACTTTGACACTTAGACCTGACATTTATGAAAAGTAAATTTATTATTGTTTGCATTTTTTAAAAGAATTATGTATTTAATTTTATTATCTTTTTAAAATTTGTTATAGGACCTGTGTGCTGAATAGAGATAGAGATAGAAAGTAAGAAAGCAAGCTGCCAGGTCCGGGACTCAAACTGCAGTTGGCCATGTAGGTGGCTAATGCCTTAACCACCATGCCACCTGCTGGCCCCTGTAATTTTCATTTTTAAGTGACCACCAACCAAAGATGTAGTCAAGAGACCTTGTTTTAGGGGCAAGAATTGCTATTATATGTTAAATAAGGTATAGCTCTTATTAATTAGAATGTCTTTGTTCCTTAAGATTGTTTCAGCAAAGAGGAACATTATGGAAGTTATATTCAAGTTATTCTGTTTTTTCTTTTTTTTTTTTTTAACTTGTCAGAGGACTCACGTGCTCACCAGAGAAAGACAAAGAGAGAGAGGGAGAAAGCACCCGCAGTAGTATGTGACCATGCGGTGGTTCCAGTTATCACCCACTAAGGCCAGATTTCAAAGCATGAACCTTTGGGGGGTAAACCATTATCCAAATCATAATAGTTCATTATCACACTTAACCACATTGCATTGCAATCACAAGTTTTTTGTTTTTTGTTTTTTGAGAGTTTGAGAGGTTTGGGCTCGTGGGCACGCCAGACAGACAGAGAG